GGCAAAGCTAGCATCACTTTTGACACATTTTTTGAAGGTAATCGTTGGAGGTAGAACAGAGTAGTCTATGACACATTTTAAAGCATAGTCACTTAAACTGGGAAGCCTGGCATGTGTTTGTTTTATAATACAGACATATGGGTACTTCCTCTTAAAGAAAGCAGTTACCATCTGCAATCTGAGAGGTCAAAGAGAAGCAATTAGAAACCCCACATTAGTACAATAAAACTTTAAAGTGCCTGTTTAAATGAAAACTCTTATCATCAAAGAGTGGAACATATTAAGTTACTGATGGCCTTGAACGCCCTAATTCAGATCATTTAACCCCTCATTCTTTGAAGATTTTAGTACCAGACTCATTATCACTCCCTCCAAGGCTATTCACCACTCTAAGGCTACTCTAACTCCAGTGGATAATTCTTTGTGATACCCCTTCCTGCCTCTCAGTTCCTTGACTACCACTCTGCAGATGATTTGTGCCCCCTGCTAATTGCAGCTTCCTACTTTCACAATCATTTCCTACACCTTGACATTACTGATAACTACAGCCCCTCTTCTAATTTTAATTTCAAGCCTCCGGCTCTCCAACCCATCTCTTACGTTTTCAGCTCATTCTCTAAATTTATATCTTGCTCACATAATAATCCAGAATGAGTGTTCCAGGTCAGAGGGCAGCTCTCCTTCATCCAGGCACCTTCTTTCTTGTGGCTCTGTCAATCTGGGCAGTTTGTAGTCACCTGCATAATCCAGCTGGCAGGAAGGAAAAAAAATGCATGAAGGAGGCACACTGGCCTGGCAATGGCAGACATCATTTCTGTTCACATTTCACTAGCAACAACTTAAAGCTTGACCATACCTAACTGAAAGAGAGGCTGAAAACACACACACAAAAACAAACAAAAAAGACTGTGTGCCCAGGAAGAAGAGAATAAATTGTGATGGACAATTAGTGATCTGCCAAAATGATCTTGCTCTCTATTTCACCGAGAAAATATAAATAACTAAAAAAGAACTACTTTGTTCTGCTATCAAATCCACAAACCTACTTCAATATGTCCTATATAGGTGGGCATGGAGCGGGGAGGGGATTAGATTTCTAGGCTGTCCCTGATCACAAATGGGGCAGTTTCCAAGCTTTCAATTAGAACATGGTCCTAGTAACCACACACTTAATCACAAAATTGAAACATACCTTCCTTCCTTGCACTTTTCAATCTCTGTAGAAGGAAACTCCTTCCTTCCCCTGCCTTTGTGAATGGCCAATTTACCTTGATTTGGAGATTTTGCATTATCTTAGTTCTCCTCCCTCTTTCTTTGCTGGCTTCTCTCATCTAGATTAGATCCCCCCTTTAAAAAAAACTTATTTGTTGTTGACACTGGCTTCCCTCATCTAGGTCAGAACTTCTCAAACTTTATTGTGATACAAATCACTTGGGGTTCTTGTTAAGATTCAGCAAGTCTGGGGTGGGGAAGGCTGAGATTTCTAACAAACTCCCTGGTGATGCCATTGCCTCTGGGCTATTGACCGCACTTTGAGTGACCAGGTTCTAAAGAGGATGTTCTCTAAGATTCTGCCCTTTGTTTTATTCTTTTTGTCACAGTGATATAACTGTAGGCTGATAACTTCCCTATTTTCTAGTTCAATCTTCTTTCTATACACACACACACACACACATACATACATACACACACACAATATTTATTCATTTCAGAGAGGAAGGAAGAGGGAGAGAGGGATAGAAACATCGATGATGAGAGAGAATCACTGATTGGCTGCCTCCTGCATACCCTCTACTGGAGATTGAACCCATAACCCTGGCATGTGCCCTGACGGGGAATCAAACCTTGACCTCCTGGTTCATAGGTCCACACTCAACCACTGAGCCATGCCGGCCAGGTGTCTCCTTCCCATATTTTAAAACCTTTATATTAAACTTCTTAGTGTCCACCTCTATCTGGCTGACTTTCAAACCTTTAAAATGGCCAAATCTAAATGAACAAAATAGATCCAGAGACATAGAAACATAGAACAGACTGCAGAACCTCAGAGGGAAGAAAAGGGGGGGCGGCGGAGGGGGCAGGATGAGTGGGTGGGAAGAGATCAAAGAACTTGTATGCACATGTGCATAACCCTTGGACAAGACAATAAGGGTGGTGAAGGCCTGGGGCTGGCAGTGTGGGAGGGTAGGAGAGGTCAATGGGGGAAAAGAGGGGACATATGTTAATACTTTCAACAATGAAGATTTAATTTAAAAAATAATATATAAAGCAATTTTTACTTCTATCTCTTTTCTATGATTATCTACAAAGTCAAAACCTCTTCACTATCTTGATTTTTCTCTTTCTTCTTCATATATGTTTTCATGCCATTCCCTCTTGCTGTAAATCCATTTAATTGCTAAATCCTGTAGATTCTGCTTCCATGTCATCTTTAAACTATGCTCTTTTTTTAAAAAATATATTTTATTGATTTTTTACAGAGAAGAAGGGAGAGGGATAGAGAGTTAGAAACATCGATGAGAGAGAAACATCGATCAGCTGCCTCCTGCACACCCCCTACTGGGGATGTGCCCACAACCCAGGTACATGCCCTTGACCAGAATCGAACCTGGGACCTTTCAGTCCGCAGGCCGACGCTCCATCCACTGAGCCAAACCGGTTTCGGCAACTATGCTCTTTTAAGTTCCTCCTGAGCTGCTTTTAGTTCAGACTCATCATTACTTTTCACCTGGCTTACTGCAGGTTCATCTGGCAGTTTTCCCACCTCTAATTTAAAAAAAAAAGTATGTATTTTTATTGATTTCAGAGAGGGAGAGAGAGAGAGAGAGAGAGAGAAACATCAATGATTAAAGAGAATCATTGATCAGTTGCTTCCTACACCCCCTACTGGGGATCTGAGCCTGAAACCCAGGCATATGCCCTGACTGTGAGGTCCTGGTTCACAGGTCTACGCTCAACCACCGAGCCACACCAGCGGGGCCCTCCTCTAATCTATATAAAAGGCTAATATGCAAAGTGTCCCCTCGGAGTTTGACCAGGAGTTCGACGGCTCACCATGACTTGTGCTGACCACCAGGGGCAGCGTGGAACAAAGGCAGGTCCCGGCTGGCAGCAGGAAGGCCCCAATGGGCCCTGATCGCGGGCAGGCCAGGCCTAGGAACCCTACCCATGCATGAATTTCGTGCACTGGGCCTCTAGTTTTTGTATACATGCACAGATCAAATAAAAGCTGAACTTTTCTTCCCCCAAACTTTGAAAGCACAAAGACTAAAAATACAGAATTCAATACAAATTCATCTACTTAACACCTCAGGCCCCATTCTCCTGGTCTCTGCCACTTCTCAACATGCCCTAGTGTCTTCCCGTTTGCTTTTTCCTGAACACTTTCCTAAGTTCTCAAGCTACCCCTTCTCGCTGTAGAACCCTCCTCATCTCCTTCCCGTCTCTCTAAGGCTTCTCCATGCTGCCTTTCTTCCCTGATACCCGGCAGGCAGTGAGCAGTTCCTTCATCTTCCGCAGTACTCTGTATTTTTCTCTCATGGTGTGTCTTTTATGGGTTTCATCTTTGTTTTATTCCTTACCCTCTGAAGGAAAGGATGGCGTCTTCAACTGCCCCCGCTACCCCTGCAGCATCTTACCTATAGGGGCGTGTGTGTCTCCCATTAGTGACTTAGGGAGATAATGTGATGCAATGGTAAGCCCTCCGGAATTCTGAAGGCAGCACAGCTTCAAATTTCGGCTTTTCCATTGATTAGTTTGAGGCTGTGGGTGAGTCACGTCATTCGGCTTGTAAAATGAGGACATTGCTACCTGACAGAGCACCAAGGGAGACAGCGTGGAAGCGCTTTGTTAACTCCACGGAGAAACGAGCCATGTCCGCTATTTTCCTCACGGGGACCCGACGCAGCCTCGCCATTCACAGCCGGGCGTGCGGGACCTTCCCCCTTCACTCCCTGAACAGCGAGACCCAGCGGCGGGGAACCGGGCGCCAGGTGCCGCGGCCCCTTCCCGCTCCCAGGGCCGCTGACCGCGCTCCGCGAGGCCGGTGCAGCCGCCCGCCTGCGGGGAAACGGCCTGAGGTCCCGCTCCC